CTTTTTAGGTTTTTGCCATAAGGTGAGTGTGCTTGCCAGAGAGACACAGAGGGAATGTGAGGAAATCATCCCCCAGGGAGGATGGCCATGCCACAACTCCTTCTCCTCTACAGATTTTTGGCATACATACACGTGCCCAGTGTTGAGTTTCAAGCCGCCAGGTCTGGGACTCAAACCGTGGTTGGCCACATGGGACTACAGCACCTTAACCATCATGCCACCTGCTGGTCCTGGGACATGTATTCTTACCTTTATAAAGAAAGTGCTATGATCCCCATTTTATAGGTGTAGAAGCTGAGGTTCAGTGTGAAGAATATGCCCAAGATCACAAAATACATAGGGAGTGGCAATTCTAGGTTTCTACCAGCCTAACTCAGTAGCTTGAGAAGAAAACGGGCAGTTTTTAATAAAGAAAAACTAAAAGTAGATGAACTCCAAATCTAAAGTTTGGATGGTCCTCTTCTCCAATTTTTTTTAGTTTGTGTAATTTTGAAAAATCTGTTTTCTAATGGAATGTTCTGTACCTGTAAAAACCTGTAGCAAGTTCTGTATATGAATAAATAAGGTTCTTATTAATGTGAATGGGAGTTAAAATGGCATGCCCTTCTCTAACTGAATTTATGAGCCTTTTGTGCAGTAAAATGACCATGGGCTACATCAGTTAAATAATATAGTATCTTGACATGAATTTCTATTTCCAGAAAAAAAGAAATGTAAAATACTTACTTAATTTTATTATTATCTTAAAATTTGCTATAAGACATGTGTGCTCACCAGAGAGAGAAAAAGAGAAGGAGAGAGCGATATGGAAGAAAGGAAGGAGGGAAGGAGGGAAAACAAGCTACCAGGTTTGGGACTCAAACAGCAGCTGGCCATGTGGGAGGCCGGAGCCTTAACCACCATGCCAACCTGCTGGCCCACAGAAAATAGATTTTAAGAGGAGGCTAATTCCAAGAAGTAATATTTAGAAAATATTTCCTCTTACTAAAGCTTCATCTTGAGAGTAATCTCAGAGTATTTGTCACATATATGTTCTATAAAAAGTTATAGATATCCACAAGCTTAATCACTATTTCATTATTTGCCCTTTGTCTTTGAATGCAATGATATGAATGCTCACTGGGCTCCTGCTACACAGCTCAGAGCTGGGTTTCCTTAGGCATAAAAATGAGTAAGGCCCACTTTGTCCTCAGGGAGTTTGTAGTCAAGTCAAGCAGAGAGAGTTCAAAATGATAATGATATAACCCAGAATTTAAGATAACATGTGTAACATACTGGTCGAAATCCTAGTAGAACAGAGTTTGCTCAGATAGATCCACTGAAGAGACATGAAGGAAGGGACTACTCACAGAGGGAGAGGCAGGGACACGTTGAGGCAGTGGAATGCAGCAACTGTGGAAGCCAGGGGCAGGGGAGCGAGCACTGGTATCAAGGACACACAGGCACACAGCAGTCAGCATCAGCTGCATGGGAAGGAACTGAGGCTGATCCAGGCCAGGGAAGGGCATGGGAATGACAACTAACTTTTCTCTCCTCCCGTCTTCTCATCACACGCTAGTTCCTCCCAATTAGAATCCAGCTGGAATGGGAGCTGGGCGGAGCCTCCTGAGAAGCAGAGCTGCATAGAGCAGCTGAGCAGGGTACTTATCTGGTGAAGATGTGAGAGACTGCACAAAACTGTGCAAACCCACAGTGGAAACCTGCCCTCTTGAGAAGAGGTTTGAAGACCAAGTAGCAATTAGCTAGATAAAGAAAACAGTGAAGTGAATTCAGACAAAGTTAACAGTATGAATGAAGACAGGAAGGTGAGAGGTTCCTGTTAAGAAACAATAGGTTGGTGACTAGTGCCTTTAAGGAAACATCAAAAGAGTCTCCTCTAATAAGAGACTTATGCTGCTTACTATCAGCTGTGCACAGGATTCTGGAAGTCAGGAGAGATGCCAAAAGGCCAGGACTAAAGGGAGACAAAGGAGGCACTTGCCCAAGGAAAGGCAAGAGGGGTCTCACATGAGGGATGTTCCAAACTGACAGGAGGGACATTCTAAACACCTTCAATAAAACAATAAATCTGACAGACAAGAAGTGGCTGAGAGACTAGGTGTGAACCAGCTGGAGCCAAGATAGCCTGGGAGGATTGCTGCCTAACCTCTACACTCATCATGCTACGCACACACTATTAGGATGCTAGATGACCTGCCCTCCTGCACCATCACAGTATCGAATAAGCATGGCAATGACTGGAACTATCATGATAAGGCCAGAAAATGGGAGGGACAGTGGTTCCAGGAAAACCACAGCTCCTTTCCCAGAAAAATCATAAATAAGCCACACCTTACTTAGCCTGGCATTAAGCCAAGTTATATAAGCCAGATGCACACTAAAGTTTAAGGCTGACCTGTCTATGGGTAGAATTACTGCTGATCTCCCAAAGAAGGTATCTCTGACAGAATGAAAGCCAGACAAAAAAACATTTTTGGGAAAAGAAGAACAGTGTGTATTGTGTTGGCCACCCAATCCCTAGACCCAAGCATGAGGTTCTAGGCTTCCAGATGCAACAAGAGGCCAAGTCAGAGCCTGCATAGGAGTCAAATGTGAATTGAGGAGAGCCAAATGAGGGAGGGGCCTCAGAGGCTGACCCTGCCCATGCAGCCTCAGCTTGGCTCCTTTGGCAACGATGTACTGGAAGGAAATGGATGACTCTGTCCTCTAATCTGTAGCTGGGAAGCCACAAGGAACTCTGCTGACAGGCATCTCAGTAATCCACAGTGACGAAGGGGCCAAGAACACACAGGTATTTCTTCCCATGTCATTTCAAGTAAACCAGCTGTTGATCTGAGCCATGGCTTTCTGAATAGGTGGCCATTGCCAAACCTGAAAACATGGCTAAAGTCCTCTGTGCTACTTTCAGACCTGGTGATGTTTTCTGATCCAAGAAACTCTCAGTTCACATGGCCCCAAACCACTTATAGTAGAGTGTCTCCACTCATAAAAAAAGATACCTTCAGCTCTCTGGGTGCTTTGACTGCCCGATAGGGTGTGTTCAATTATTGGACACAGTGGTAGGACACATACTTGTATCTCCTCAAGAGCTTGACAGACAAGTTTTGTTTGTTTGTTTTTAAAATAGCTCAATAAATTAGGTACTCAAGGAAGACTGAAAAAGAGGAAAGCTATGAAGAGCCAAGAGACGTCTGGCAAAAAGATCTTGCCAGTGAAAAAGAAAAGCAAACAAAGGAAAAGTCCAGAGGAAAGTTAAAAGTGATATCACAAAGCAGCTGAAAGTGTGGTCAGAAAAACTCTCAGCATGAGGCTGGTCAATGGTTCATCAGCAGCGTAACACTCTGTGAGGCTGACCCCACTTGGGAAGGTTCTGGGTTCTCATCTGGAGGCTGGCATACCAGAGTATATCAGGCATGGACATGCCTATGAACCAGGGCTGGCTGGGGGGCTGGGGAGCTGGGGAGTGGAGGGTGGATTACGGCCTCAAGACCTTGTTTGTGATGTTGTTTTTCTCTCTCTCAAGAAAAAAAGAAAATAATGTTTAATAGTTAACCCAAGAGAAAAATGAGCAAGTTATTTCACACGTAAGAATGATCAAAAGCCAACACGCATAAGAGTAGTACTCAATCTCATGATCAACTAGTGTAACAACAACTAAACCCATAAGTTACTACTACACCCCAGCCAGAATAAAATGAAAGACAGATACTACCTAGTTTGGTGAGTGTGTAACTGGAGCTCTGGAAAGAACACTGCTTGGCAGCATTCAATACAGCTGAACATAAAGTCCATACTATGACCCTGCAATTCCATGCCTAGGCACCAATGTGGACCTAGATTATTCATGTACTAGGATAGTTAGAGCAGTGCTTCCAGTCAGTAAATGGGAAATGAGCCAAACACCCATCAGATAAATAGTATGTGGTTTATTCACAAAATGGAATACTATACAAACATGAGAAAGAACTGTGTACAAATAACATGCCACAAAAAAACTCACAAACAATGCTGAGCAAAAGACGCTAGATAGAAATGTATAACGTTTAATTCTATTCACATAATAGCCCAAACCACACAAAACTAACCTATGCTCTTAGACCTCAGGATAGTGGTTACCCCTGGGGAGGTAGTGATTGGAAGGGAGTCTGGAAGGCTCTGGGGATGCTGGCTGTATGCATATGTTCTATTCCTGAAAATCACTCACATGTCTGTCTGGATGTTACACTTTAATAAGAAGTTAAAACAAAACAATATGCCTTTGCCTAGAGACTCAGCTCAGACCGTAAAACATTTTTTTCCTTCTCTCTTGGTCTCTTCCTGTCACTACAACTCTCTCAGCAGAGCTCTTAATTCCTAATTGTGACTTCCCAATGGTGAGGGTAGGAAGAGAACCTTCCCATAATGTGCAGATGAAGCTGGATCTGCTATGTCTGGCTACTGAAGAAACAAGTCCACCAACCTATAAAACCCAAGTTTACCTTCCAGCCATGTGTTCAAGTGCCCTCTCCTTTCAGGAACATTTAAATAAGCAACCTAGTTTTGAACCCAAAGGACAGAGCTTCAGCAGTTATCTTCTTGAGTAAAGGCAGTGGATGGGCAAGGAGACAGCAGGGCCTGACATCCTTGGAGACAACATACAACTGGAGAGCAGCCTGACTTAGGGTGGGAGGGTTAAAATCGTGACTTTGTCTTGAGCAAGCTTGTATCCTCTCTATGTCTTTGTTTCCTCATCATTAAAATGGGGACAATGGTGCTTACCTCAGAGTTGTTAGAAAGATTAAGTTATCACATGTAAAACATTTATGAAAATGACTGACATACATAGCTATTTTTTAAAGAGGTTTTTGACTTAGGGCATGTACAGTAGCTAGAAAGACAGACAGTGAGAGGCAAAATGAGAAATCTCCCCCAGTGGGAATGGCCATGCTGCAATCCCTTTTCCTCCATTCTCCCAGGATCTTGAGCATGCACATGCACGTACCCAGTTGTGATTTTCAAGCCACTGGGTCTGGGATTCGAACTACATTTAGCCATGTGGGAGTCTAGCCGCATAGCCACACCATCTGCTGCCCCCAACATAGGAGCTTATTAAATGTTAGGTGTCAACTCAATTTTGTTCAAGGTATGCTGTCCCCAAGAAGCACAGGTCAGGGTAAGACTACAGAGCAAAGGGCTTTGGGGCTTACCCACAGTTACCACCCATAAACTGCAGAGTACTCTGGGTGACTTGGATTTCCTCAGCAAGTGTGTTATACCTGAATGGGAGCAGAGGAGGGACTGGGAAGCATGGAAGAGGGAAAGAGAAGAACTGATAGCCCTCTAGCACCAGTCTCATGTATATCTAAATATATCACTAAATAAGCATAGCAGCTACTGTGTATACTGGATGACTTCAAAGAAACAGGAATGTTGCTCCATCAGACGGCAGGAAATTGCATAATGTGATATAGTAACAACTAGAGAGGCTGTGACATCATTCACCTATGCTTCTTATTTGATCAATGAACCACCGAACATCACAGGCTTGGTGCAACTTCTGCGATGGACCCTAATCTTTGGATCAGTCTGGCCTGAATTTTGCAGACCTAGAGACCTTGTAGTGACTGGCTTAAGATAACCCAAATATACAAAGCCTGAGGTAGATAACAGTTAGTTAGCAAAAAAATAATGTTCAGTAGCTAGAATACTTACACTGGCATTTCCACCTCGCAGACAGACCTAGACAAAAAGCTAAACCTTCATCAGTATAATTAAAAGGATACTTGAATATGTATCAAAATAACATAATAGAAATAACCTAAAACAAGGCTAAAGTCCTTTTAAGGGCTAGAAAAGCTGGAAAGATGAGCATCTCATGGTGAACAATGCTTTTCTGCTTTCCCCTGCTGACATCAACCCTGCCCCAAAGTTCATCTCATCTGCTCATTTTCGCTTTGATCCTAACGCTTGGAAGTCAGACAGTGATTATATTTCCTCAACTCCTAAGTGTGGGGTAGAGGGAGAGACTGAGACTGTATTGCTATCTCCTTGTCAGTCAACACACAATCCACTCCCTGAGTAGGTAGGAGCCTCTTCTAAGTGACTTCTCTCTCTGAAGGATTCTCTGGGAGTCCCCAGGCCCAGAGTGCTCAATGGGGACTAAAGGCACAGGAGGCCCAGTCCAGTGGGCTGGCTGTACTCTCTACAGGTTAGGATGTTGGCCCTTAGATGTAACCGGAAACCACCTGCTTCTCTTCCTGAACATCAAGACCGCTAGTGCCTTCTCTTGACTATTTGTCATTTCTTGCTTCGTCCTCAGGAGGATAAACCTTATGGCTGATCTGAGAGTGCCCCTGCAGCTGACCTTCCTAGACAACTTTAAAAGCCATGGTGCTCTCATAAGAAGTCTTGAATGGAAAACCCCACATTTAGACCATAGGGCACACAGTGGAGAGTCCTGCCAGCTTTCTCCATGTGATGGGAAATGCAAGAAGGAGCCGCCTTCTCCATTCCTTTCCTAATAGTTCTTCCTGAGTCACTGCCAGACACTTCACAGAAGCAAAGAGACTGGCAGAGTGAAGGAAAAACAGATGAGGTAAGGAGGAAAAGGAAGCTTCAAGAGGGTGGCTGCCCAAGCTCAATGCCTTGCAAGGGTGGCCCCCAGCAGCCTCTCCCGTCCTTACGGCAATGGACTCCAGAGCCCTTCTCAGACTCAGCCTAGTGCTCTCTGCTCCATTCTCCTCACAGAAACCCGAGGATCTGCACCCTACTTCTCTCTCTGCTCCAGTTATTCCATCCTTTGGGGGATTCTTCTCTCCAGAATCACCCATGGAATGGAAAGGGCTGAATGAGGCTATACATACCTGTATTACGAATTAAGAACACTAAATGAGAACTGTGACAGGAATTAATAATTAGCATTCTGTACCTATCAAACTATCTAAACATTTCCTGGCACATCCCCAGAGCTAAAATGAATCTGAATGTGTAACAGGAAGAGCTCCCCTCTTTACCAAAACTCTCTTGGTGAGTGGCAACCACCAGAGTCAAATGCACCATTATTTATTTCCCAAATGACAGAAAGCAAATCATCACTAAGGCGAAAAGACTTAACTTTTGCAAATTGGAACAGTTTGGAAATTGAGAGATTTGGAGAAGAAATATGAGTGAGAAAATCCATGTTCTCCTGCTAAAAAGTATACTCTTCTAACACTACAATGAACAAATATAAATAAATTAGAGACTTTTAAAGGGAGTACTCTGGATAATTTAGAAAGTAGTGTTTTTGCAAACTACACTTTAAGTAAATGATTTTTTACATAATTGTTCTTTGATTTTTAACTTTTTCACTAAATCTAAAAACTATTACATTTTCTAAACAGTGATAAAAAGTATAGACAACAGTTTACACAGACATCAGTTTTGGAAAAGCAGTGAACTATATAAGTAATAATTTTAATGACAATTATAATAGTCCTAAAATGGCAAAGAGAAATTCTGAATGGCGATTAAGCAATGGCTTCTACTGCACAAAGCACTTACGCTGTAAGAGGAACAGATACTGCTTATTTCTGGACTGAAGTGAGTACACAGTGTCAGTAGTTAGATCTATCATCAGTGATAATTAATCTCATGTCTAACTGCTTCCTTTAAAGCCCCACATTCCTACTGCAGTCTCATGTATAAGTTTGGAAAATAATATGCAACAGGTTTTCAGGAGAGATTTTCACTAAAGCTTGACAAGAATGACTGGGAAATAACTGGTTCAAGGAAAAAGGTAAACGTGTCTAATTACAACTGTGGTAGGAAATTCTTGAGACAGCCTCCAAATTCCAAAATCTAAAATGTTCTAGCCAGTTCCAGAATTGTATCAAATAGTTATTTATATTGAAATGTAACAAACTGCTAAAATGCTAAGTAACTTTTATGATAATCTAAAATTAAATTTTAAATTTGTAACTTTAGTAATACATATTAAATACTTAGGAATTACTGTAGAGAATGCAATCCATTTAATCATGAAAAACATATATAATGAAATTACGGAAATGAGCACACACATTGGCAAACCAGAATGCTCTTACCAATTCTACAACTGCAATAAATTTAATACTGTAAACATATACTGAACAAAGCAGAGCACTGTGGAAAGAGTTCAATTGCTTTAACAAATCATATAAGTTTTACGAGCAAGAATAGAGACAAATGGAATTCTCAGAACATTACTTAAAAATAGATTTCTAAAGATAAGGTTCCCAACTTACATATACACACAAAAGTTCACCTGTCACAGACAGCAAATGTTGAATTTATACACTGGAGTTTCTGGCAGAATCCTGCACATTTAGAATTAAACAACCAGAAAACTGTCAAATCTATCCAAGATGGATTTTTCAAGTCCGTGCAGGATGGAGTACAGCCACTCTGGGGCCACTGCCTAAGTGCTCACTTCTGCTTCTCAAAGGCAAAAACCAAGTAAATACCTAGGGGAAAGAAATAAAAGAGCTTGATTTCTCACATCCTCAGGGCAAATAAAAATCATTTCAGTCTTGCTCATAATTTGGTGAAAATCCTTAGGCTCTCAGGCAGCTTTGGAAGAGGAAAAAACCCCATTAATTCTAAGAGACCCTCTATTCTTTGAGTCATATTTTTCTCTTCTCTAAAAAGGAGGTATAATATGTAATATTCTACTCAGAGTTGTTGTGAAGACTAAATAAGTTACAACAAATGAACAGTGCCTGGCACACACTTAACACTCAAAAATATCAACTATCATGATTATTTCCTAGATTTCACTAGTTTTCATAAAACTATCCTTCACTTACATTTCCCATTACAGTAACTTTAGCACGTAAAAGTCTGCCTGATAGTACACTGGCATCTATTTCTTCCATTAGATTGCATACCTCTAGAAGGCAGAGATTTGTTTACTTTTTTTATCACCCAAAACCACTTTATAGAACTTTGTGTAAGTTAACACTCAATGTTTAACAAATGGACCATCTTAGATCATCAATGAACAAACATTTAAACAATACCCTTTAAGTCCTTAGGGGAACCACATTTTTACTATCATCTTATTACTATCATCTTAACAGCACAACTCTGCAAACTGACTATTCCTCAACATCCTTCTGCTGAAGAACCATAGGGTTTCACAGATTTGTAGGCCTCAGGCTTCTCTCTGAAGAGACAGGGATCTCACTTCAGGATGTCTTTATATCATGATATTCTCCTCACTTCTGTGTCACTGAATGTTCAAGGATTATGCCTTCAATTTTCTTCTCTTTTTTTTGAGACAGGGTCCTGCCAGGCTGCCCAGGCTGACCTTAAACTTGCAATCTTCCTCTCTTGGCCTCCCAAGTAACTGGGATTTTAGGCACTTGCCACTGTACCTGGCTTATGCCTTCATTCTCAATATGTGTGGCTGAGTCAGATAAAATACATGGAAGCACTTTATATATAAAAGATTCCAACAAAAATCCAAATTAAAGACCTCAACAGAGATGGCTATTAACTAACAAGTAGGCAATGAAAATATTGATGTATGCTTGTGAAAATTTGTTAAGTAACATCCTGCATATATTTTTTCTTATACTAAAAAGCTATGCAAGCAAGGAGGATTAGACATATATAGTTATTGGTATACTTATTTTTGAAAATACATGTGTCTAAAATGTGTCCGAAAAATTCTTCAGTATGTGGGTTTTAACGATCAATAAAACAGAATCTTTAAAACTGTCAGTCAACCAACACTGACAATATACTCACTTGTAGCTGCCCATTCTGATTTACTTAAGGTTCCCTAAAATTCAAAAAAAGAAAAATTCAGATTCAATATGGAAGTAAATACACTTATTCTTCAATATGAACAGAAGTCATCAAAAATCACAGTAAATACTCATACAATTTATTAACAGACTGTAATCTGAACATACAAAAGAAATAAATGAGGTTAAGTTTTAATGCCGTTTTCTCACCACTTCTGCCCTCTCATGAAATTTTCAAATCTATTCATTCTAAGATAAAAGGTGAAAATGTGTGTGTGTGTGTGTGTGTGCGTGTGTGCGTGTGTGTGTGTGTTACATGTGGGTGAATCACAAAAAACATACAGTTCATATTTTGACTTAGAAAATGAGGTGGACCAGCAGTTAGTGTAATGGCTATGCCTTTGAACTCTCATGTAGTTGACCGTGGTTCAAGCCCCAGACCTGGTGGCTTAAATTCACACCAGGCATGTGTGCATGTGTGCCCAAGATCCCGAGAGGAGAATGGAGGAGAAGGGATTGTGGTGTGGCCATCCCCCCGGGGGGTGACTTCTCGCTTTCTGTCTCTGTCTTTCTGGCAAGTGCATGCGCCCTACAGGAAGAAAGAAGAAAAAAAAAAAAAAAAGCCTATCGTGAAATATCACATAACACTGGAGGAGAGAATAAGCTTTTTGTGTTCTTACAAAGGAATCATAAAATGAAGAACATACCACACAAAGGAAATATACTATATTTAAGCAGTTTTCAAAATACTAAGGTATTTTAATATATGTTCATATATGCTGCTGTTCTGAACATGTCACTGACAAGATCTAGTGATTTGATAGGCTTAGTAACTAATGTAATTTTTTTTAAAGAGAGATTTTTGCTATGGGCTAATGTGCTTGCTGTAGACACAGAGACAGAGAGAGAGACAAAGTGAGAAATCACCCCCTGGGGGATGGTCATGCCATGATCCCTTCTCTTCCTTTCTCACTTGAGATTTGGAGCATGCACACATACACACCCAGTGTGAGTTTCAACCTGTCAAGTCTGGGACTCACACTGTGATCAGCCAAATGGGAATCCAGTGCCACAACCACCATGCCACCTGCTGGCCTCACTAATGCAATTTTGAAGTGATGAATGTAAACAATATCCTAAGACATTAGTAGAAATGTACTATAAAAATACCTGTGATTGGAAACAGCAGTTGGTGTAATGGCTATGTTGCTGTACTCCCACGTATTCAACCATGGTTCAAGTCCGGGACCTGATGGCTTAGACTCACACCGGGCACGTGGGTGTACATGCCCAAGATCCCGAGAGGAGAACGGAGAAGGGATTGTAGCATGGCCACTCCTCCTGGGGGGTGATTTCTCGCTTTCTGTCTCTCTGTCTCTGTCTTTCTGGCAAGCACACGCACCCTATATAGCAAAAACCTACCTCCCCCCCCAAAAAAATTGTGATTTCTGTTGATGACAAAGTCACAGTTACAGCTAATGCTACTGCTGTCTTACATTTATAATTTTTGATAATGTAGTATTTAACACAATAATTACTACAAAGATAGCACTTCCCCCATGTTAGTTCATGTGCCCTGAATTCTATCTAGGAAATACTCAGAGCCAGAGGTGCCTTGCAAACCGGCACTGAACAATTTTCCATCTCTAGTGCCTCAGATTCTTAGTTCTCCAAAATGTATTTTATTTTCTATTCTACAACTATAAGAAGTCATCACAGCTTAAGGGATGCAGAGTATCATATTTGATTTATAATTCAATGAGCCCAAGTACTGTAAACAAGTAGATTGTTTACTAAGTCTCCAAATAATACACATTTTTAAAATTTTCTATAAAATACTTTCAGAAATGAGAACTTACCAAAGGTAACTTTACTTGACTGTTTTTCATGTATTCTGCTGCATGCTCATAGTCATCATCCTTCTCAGAGGCAAGTTTAGAAATATCATTTGCAGGATATGGCTGAAGAAGCAAACAGAACTCCCAGTTAAGATATTACACTGAAATTTACAATTCATACACAATACCTCATTTAAGTAAAATAATTTGGACTAATCCCTAAGCATTACTTCAGTAATACAAACTATATGTACTTTTATAATTGGGGTGAGGGGAGGCAGGAAGAGGAGGAAATTCCCCCCTTTTAAGAGAGATTTTTGCTATAGGGTGCATGTGCTTGCAGAGACACAGAGACAGAGTGACAGAAAGCAAGAAATTACCCCCCAGGGAGATGGCCACACCACAATCCCTTCTCCTCTATTCTCCTCCTGGGATTTTGGGCATACATGCACAAATGCCCAGCGTTGAGTTTTAAGCCAGTGTTGAGTCCGGGACTTGAACCACAGTTAACTACGTGGAGTCCACAGAGACATAACCATTATGCCATGTGCTGGTCCCAGGAAATCCTTTCTTAATGCAGCCATTATGGTCAATGGTTATCCCAATCTGAATAGCTACAGCTAAAATAAACTAAATCAATCAAGAACCATTTTGCCAATTTTTAAGATACTAGTTAACTGCTTTCCTGTTAGAATATGAAGCTTAAAGAAGGTGTTTCCAAAGAACTTAATATTAATACAATGACAATTTAACAGGCATGGAAAGTTTAATAAACAGAAATTAGAAAAATAATACAAATGAAAATGTCAACAGAGAACACCATTTAAGATAACAAAGGAAGTGCTAGGCAGTGATGCAGTGGTAATGCAACTGGACCCACATAGGGAAAAACTCCTGGGCTCATATCCTGGTAACTCCTAGAACATACTGGGTGTGCACATGTGCCTACAACCTGGGACAGCTGAAACTAGAGGTAGACTGGGGCATGGAGGTCCCGCTACGCATACCTGTCTCTCTGTCAAAGAAAGCATTAAACAAACTTGGGGGGGAAAAAAAAAAAAGAACCAGAAGATTTAATTAAGCTCGGGAATATAAGGAGAATAACCATGTCTCCACAATATAGGCTGTTCCCATATTCACATAAGAATCTGAAGAGGTATCAGCAGATGGCATAATGGGAACGTGTATGTGTGCATCCAAAATCCCAAAAGGGGAATGAAGGAGAAGGGATTATAGCATGATCCCTATAGCAAAAATATCTCTTAAAAAAAAAAACTCCAAAACTGAAGAAGGTTCAGGGAAAAAAAATGCTTTTAAGGGTATGCCAACCAAATGTTTATTCATGACCTCAAATATCATTTTTAATTCATTTAAAATAATCTCTTCACACAATAAAGTATTTTTGACTTTTAAATCAAAACAAAATGTTCGTGGCCAGCAGGTGATATGGTGGTTGAGGTGTTGGACTGCCACATGGTTGACTGTAGTTTGAAGCCCAGGTCTGGTGACTTGCTTTCTCACCTTCCTTTTCTCTCTGTGTCTATGTCTCTCTTTGGTCAAATTGAAAAATAACAATAATAAATAAAATAACTCTTTTAAAAAAATTTTTATTTTTATTTTTTTGCTATAGGGAGTGTGCACTCACCAGAAAGACCAAGAGAGACAGAAAGCAAGAAATCACCCTCTGGGGCGGGGAGGATGGCCATGCCGCAATCCCTCCTCCTCCATTTTCCGCTTGGGATCTTGGGCACTCATACACAAGTGCCCAGTGTGAGTTTAAGCCACTGGGTCCAGAACTAGATCCGCGGTTGGCTACATGGGAGTCCAGCGACATAACCATTACGTTAACTACTGGTCCCAATAAAATAATTCTTAAAAAAAAAAAATCTGCCAGGCATATGTACATGTGTACCCAATATCCCTAAAAAATAGAGAAATGGAGAAGGGTTTACACCATGGTCACACACCATTGGGGGGGGTGCTTTCTCTCCCTATTTCTGTCTCTCTGGCAGAAATATATCCTCCGACAATTAAAAAAATACCTAATCTATTAAATATATTAGAAATTTAATAGAACCACTATCTATTCTACAAAGGTTATATTTTCTTTTTTTTTTTTGGAGAGGTTGTTTTTGTTTTGTTTTGTTTTTCTGCTACAGGACGCATGCACTCACCAGACAGACAGAGAGAGACAGAAAGCGAGAAATCACCCCCCGGGGGGATGGCCACGCCGCAATCCCTTCTCCTCCATTCTCCTCTCGGGATCTTGGGCATGCACGCACAAGCGCCCGGCGTGAGTTTTAAGCCACCAGGTCCAGGACGTGAACCACGGTTGACTACGTGGGAGTCCAGTGACATAGCCATTACGCTAACTGCTGGTCCCAAGGTTATATTTTCTTTATAAAATTGTTTTATTACAATAAAGTAGCCTTAATACACTTTTAAGAAAATAATCTATGAATGTCTACTTTGGTATTTTCGTTTTCCCTTCTACTCATTAATATCCTATAGTATGCTCAGGCACTGGAAATTAAGCTATCTACTTTTTTTTTTTGTAGAGGTTGCTATAGGGTGTGTGTGCTCGCCAGGAAGTCAGAGAAAGACAGAGAGACAGAACACGAGAAATCATCCGCAAGGGAGATGGCCACGCTACAATCCTTTCTCCTTTATTCTCCTATTGGGATATTGGGCACACATGTACATGCGCCCAGCCTGAGTTTAAGTCACCAGGTCTGGGACTCGAACTGCAGTTGACTACATGGGAGACCAGTGACACACCCATTATACCAACTGCTGGTCCATCTACTTTTTGTTTAAAGAGTATTTGGTGGGCTGGCCCCATGGCCTAGTGGTTAAAGGAGCCAGAACCCACATGGTCAACCATGGTTCAAATTCTGGCCCCAGTGTCTTGAAAAACACCCAAATGCACGTGCCCGAAATCCCAACAGGATAGAGAAATGGAGAAGGAAATGCAGCATGACAATGAGTTATAGCCACAGTTCCTCTAAAATTTCCTTCTACCTTCCCTCTGTTACAATGCCCCAGAAAAGCAGAGAAAAGTTTTACTGGTTCCAGAGCTCAACCCCTGTAGCAGCTGAAGGCTGAATGCTTGAGGAAAAGACTAGAGGCAAATACCAAGAAACAGATCAATTAAGATGCTAACTAAAGCATTAATGTCCTGACTGTTCTTTCTACCTCTGGTCTCAAAGGGCTTCCAAACCACTCTGGTCTCCAAACCACTCTCTATAATTTCATCCAAATAACATCCTATCTCTCATCAAGTTGTGTTCTCTCCTGCTTCTAGTCATTTAATGGCCCGCATAAGTGACTTGGTCCAGAAGGAGAAAGCAAAGGACTTGTTCACACTACATGCTCTTACTGCTATGTCCCCAGGTGGCCGTAGTGAGATAGTTGTATCTTCCAGGGGAATACTGGGAGAGAAAGACTGGAGAACCAGTGTGGTAAAGAAATATGAAGAGAGATGTGATGCTTATGTCGCTGAACTCTCATGTAGTTAACCACGGTCTGAATCCCTAACCCAGTGGCTTAAAACTCACGCTGGGCGCATATGCATGCGTGCCCAAAATCCCAAGAGAAAAAAAAAAAGAGATTGCAGTGTGGCCACATCCTGGGAGGGGGGATGATTTCTCACTTTTTTGTCTCTGTCTCTCTGGTGAGAGCATGCTCCCTGTAGCAAAAAATCTCTCTCAATAAAAGGAACAAAACATGGGACCAGCAGTTAGTGTAATGGCTATGTTGCTGGACTCCCATGTAGTTGACCACAGTTCGCATCCTGAACTCGGTGGCTTAAAACTCATGCTGGGCGCGTGTGCGTGTGTGTCCAAGATCCCAAGAGGAGAACGGAGGAGAAGAGATTGCAGCGTGACCATCGCCCCTGGAGGGTGATTTCTCGCTTTGTGTCTCTCTCTGCCTGGCAAGCGCACGCGCTCTATAGCAAAAACCTCTCCAAAAAAAAAACGGAACAAAACTAATTAACTAAATATGTAGGTTATTAGTACTTCTTCCCATACTTCCTATTCTCTTATGCTTCCTTCCCAAAGGTTTTTATATATTCACTGGACTTTGAATATTTCTTTACTTCAATTCCTACATTGTGCTAAATTATTTGTTTGTATATTTATCTTAATATACCATGAAACCCTTGAAGGACCTCACTAATTACATTTTTAAATAAATTAACAAATGGATTCATTACCTAGATGCTAAGAAAAAAAATGAAATAACTGCTCTTGGGCATTTAAAGTACCATCTGGTTAAGGGCACTATACGGAAGGTATGTATGTGGGGAGGGGGACATATGCACGGATACTGTTTTTAAGACCGAAAAAAATAAAAGCAAATAAAAACATTCCTAATTCTAAAATGTAAGGACATACAACCAATGAGGAACCTAACACTTTACTGACTATAAGTTTGAAAACTTTAGAATTTAAAGACTTCTATTAAACTGTGGGTTGCAGGTATGGAGGTAACTTAACAAGAGACTTACTTAAAAACCACCTATAAACTTGAGGAAACTTAAAAAGTTCATAGTCATACAATCTTGAAGAAGTCATTTGTCCTCTTTGAGCTTCAAGCTGCCTATTTAAAAATTAAGAAAAGTGACTGCTTTGTCTATTTCAGGAAGTAATTATGTGGATAATTTAGACACAGTATGCCTAAAGTATTTCCCCCCCAACCCCAGGTTTTAAAAAAAAAGGGGCCTCAGTATGTTCCCCAGTCTGGCCTTGTGCTTGTGACACACCTGTCTCAGTAGTCCCATCTGAGTAGATGGGACAACAGGTATGTGCCACCATGCCTGGCTTGCTTAAAGTACGTATAAGAATACTGCAGATTAAATGAACTCCTTAAATAAGTTTAATGCCTATTTGATAAATATGATTCTGCTGACTGATAATAAAAATGGCCACTGAGTATTTTAGATCCAATTAAACACTGTTTAATGAAGGAAAAAAAAAACAATCAGAAATTGTATGTTTAAAGCTTGTACAGACTATCTTCACTACTGCATTAGGAAGAGCATAGGAGGAGCTCAAGAGCTAAAGCAGGTCTCAGCAACTACAGAGCTTAAAAGACTAGACTCTCATTAGACAGTCACCATAGGAAAAAAGTAAGTTATGGATAGTATCAGCTTGTCTTGGAGCCTGGTCAGGAAGATTCTAAATTTCTGATGTAACCACAGGACATTACTGTAAAGAAATGGTTCTCAATCATGGGCAACTTTACCCACCAGGAAACATATGGCAATGTCTGGAGACACTTTTTGGCTGCTGGGACTGGGACACACAAATGCTACTGGCAATCAACTTAGTTAAATGGAGGCCAGGGATGCTAGTGAATATCCTATATTGCACAAAACAGCACTTCATAATGAATTATCCAATTCAAAATGCCAATAGCCCTGAGGTTGAGAAATCCTATTTTAAAACAGTAATATCTAGAAAACAGAATTTGATTACAGCACTATTCATTCATTCATCCATTCAGTCATATGGTATCTATTGAGAACCCACCATGAAAGTTTGTGTTGTAAGTGCTAAAGAGTTTAGGGCAGTTGTAAATAATATGTGTAATATACATAATATTTAGTGTCCAGATGACCTTGAAAGGATCTCAAAAACAGCCAAACAAATTCACCATAACCTAGGATTTTCACCTCTTTCTAGACACTTACCTCCAAGGCCTGCATTCGTTTCAACAGCATTTTATTTTCATTGTTCTTAATCTTTTCTTCATAGAATTCCAGAAATGTTTTTTTGTATACTAGTTTCATATTGTATTTCTTCACCATTCTGTCCAAAAGAGATTACTTAATGAAAAGGCTTTCAAAATATTTTCTCAATCGCTTACTTCTGTACAACAGTGACATCTTTTGGACTTTACTAAAAAAGCTGTTTCCTTCGTAAATCACAACAGAGTAATCCAAAATGAATTAAAAGTAACATACTAATAACCACACCTATAAAGAAACATACGTTCTAAATGCCAGTGGGTCAGAGCGCTCTATTAACGTGACAAATAGGTCAGGATATAAAAGACATTCTCAGGGGCTGTAAGATGGGAATGAAGAGCTATAGGGCTTTCTATCGATCTATTTTATTTGATCCCTCACAACAGCATTAAAAACAGCTGTTAACCTCATTAAAAAATTCACTTTTTTCTCTTGCACTCTTAGATAAGATATTCTACTAATGGTTACCCTACATCTTAGGCTGTTTCTTTGTGGTTTGTCTTACAGGTTTCTATTTATTTTGGCCATATGTTTGCTCACCAGGGAGAGACATATAGGGAAATGGCCACACTGCAATCCCTTCTCCATTCTCCTCATGGGATTTTGGGCACACAAACATATGTGCCCCACATGATTTTTGAGCTGCCAGGTTTGGGACTTTAATTGTGATCGGCCACATGGGAGTCCAGGGCCTTAACCACTACATACAGGTTTCATTTTAATTCAACTTCTAAATTGTATGGCTCTGAAGTATTTGGCCCAGAGCCCTACATATTTCCCTCCCTTGATTTCACACAGCTTGCAGACAGTTTATCTGTGTGGCTCAGTCCTCTCTTCTGACTCCACTGCTTATTAGAAACATCCACCAGAGCCTGGCGCAGCAGTGTATTCAGCAATAAACTGAACTGCAGAGATAGATGCCACATAGCCTATCTCAGTATTAGTTCCCAGGCAGGACTGGAAACATGCCAGGTTTGCCTACAAGCACCTAAGACCCTGAGGAGCTGGAGGACTGGGGGGAAGGAAATGCAGCATGAGGAGACTCTGTCAAGGGTGCTTCTCTCCCTCCCTCCTTCCCATGTGTGGGCATGTAGTACCACGAATAAAATAAATAAAAATCTCCATCAGGATGTGCCAAAGACATTCTTAACTTTCTCACATAATGCTGAACCTTGCTGTACTGTTTTTCTGCTAATCGTCACTATTTTGGTTAATCCATACCAGTCCCCTCTCTTATACTCATGTGGTCAATCAAATCCTCACCTACAAATGTCCACTTGGAGCAGTTCCACTTCTTCCTTCCTTCATCTGCCATCCTGTTTCAGTCACCATTCAGTCATGCTAGTCCAGTCAACACTCTGTGCCTCCTGTTTATATTCTTACTCTCCCTCCCAAAGAATGTTTTAATTGCAGCTGGACTGAGCTTTTGAAATAAACTACCTGGTCATGTCATTACCATCCTTAACATCCTAGATGGGGCTCTAGTGCACTTGGGAACATAATTCAAAAACCCTGAACATGGTCTTTCAGGCACTCTAAGGAATGCTGCCTCACTGTGAACCCTCAGGCCCCAATTACTTAAGATCAAGGCAAAATAGCTTTCCTAAAACTTGAACTAGCCAAATTTTCCTACTGCAAACATCCCTATGCTGAGAACATTCTTCCTTCTAATCTTCAAGTGGCACCTCCTAATCATCCTTGAGATCCTGACTTGAACATCATCACTTCTTTGTGTCTTCTTTAAATTCTCAATTTGATTTAAGTCTCTCCGTTACATTCTTAAGATTCTTTTTTCTTTTCTCCCTCTCACTGTTAAACGTATTTCTCTGTAGACAACATGAGAAGACCTGGAAATGATTTCAGGCAGCAGATAAAGGAAGAAAAGGAAGGGAAAAACACTGAAAAGGTAGTTGGCTCACATTTGGGGTGACACTTGAGGGGACAGGATTAAGAGTAAACAATTGAGGGTCACTGGGATTTATACATAAGAGGCATATGTAAAGTATGATTCTCTATTATTTGAACAAGTCCTCCTTGGAAAGACAGCATGGGCAAAAATAATCTTTTATTCCAAACAATTAATTTTCTATCTTAAATCTCCAATATAAGCCTTCAGAAACAAAGTCAAGTTTTATGCCTTAAAACACACACAAACACAAAGAACTGAGACCAAAATCAGTTATAAAAGGCTTTTCCATATAAAATTTAATCATATTTTTGCTAAATTTAATAATGAAATATAAGGGTATCTCAAAATTCCTATGCATTTTCAGATTCTGTCTCATTAAATACATATTCCAATAAATATTTTTAAAAAGTTAGATATTGGGGCCAGCAGATGTCATAGTAGCTATGGCACTGGACTCCTACATGGCTAACTGCAAATTCAGTCCCCAACCTGGTGGCTTGAAACTCACGCTGAGCATGTACATGTGCCAAAATCTCAACAGGGGAGGGGCCAGCTCCATATTCAAAAGCCTAAAATGAGAAATCAGGATAGGCTTATGGAATGATCATCCCTAACAGAAGGTTCTTTCTCACTCACTCTCAATCTCTCTCTCTCTTTCTCTGTCCCCCTCTGGTCAAATTCAAAATGAATAAATAATCATTCTCCGGGGGGATAGCCACGCTGCAATTCCTTCTCCTCCATTCTCCTCTCAGGATCCTGGGCACGCATGCGCACACGCCCGGTGTGAGATTAAGCCACTGGGTCTGGGACTGGAACCATGGTCGACTATGTGGGAGTCCAGAGACATAGTCATTATGCCAACTGCTGGTCCCAAATAAAATAATTCTTAAAAAAGAAAAAAATCCCAACAGGGGAATGGAGGAGAACACCCTTTAGGTGTTGATTTCTTACTCTATCTCTTTCTGTGTCTCTGGTGATTGCACGCACTCTACAGCAAAAATCTCTCTTATAAAACAAAATGTGACTTAAATTTTTAATTTTATAAATAACTTACATTTATAAAATTGTGCATAGCATTTTCTCCATCTTCAGTCATAATGCTATCCTTCTTTTATTTTATTAATCATTATTATTTTAATATTTCCAGAGAGAGACACACGCAGAGAGGAGAGAGAGAGAAAGGGAGAGTGAGAAAGCAAGCCTCCAGGTCTGGGACTCAAACCACAGTCAGCCTTGTGGGAGTCCAGCACCCTTATCCACCATGCTACCTGCCAGCCCCCATAATGCTATCCTTCTTCCATGAGGGGACTTCAAAAGGTCATGGAAAAATGGAATTAGTGTACAAGGGGCAAAAAATTTTTGAAATCCATGCACTGTTTTCCATAATACGTATTTTTCATAAACTTCTGAAGACCCTCCACATTACTATATAAATTTTTCATATATTAGAAAACTGAAAGTCCTATCCTCATAATTTTATATGCTAAGTCACCATTCAAATAATCAACAACCAAAAATAAGGAGGCAGAGGAGCTCTTCTTTTTCTTCTAACATTTTTCAAAATGTAAGATTTTTGTTTTAAAAGTAGAAAATCCAATTTAGTCAATTGTAAAATGGCCTATATTTTTACTGATTTTTACACTTTTCTCAGTAGGGAAACTCCAAGACCAAGGTTTATCACGTCTTGAAGCCTTACCTGATAAAAGCCTGGTACCCTCCAACTTTTCCTGTGACTATAGTTTGCAAGGAGCCCTAGGAATTCAGGTGCATGGGGAAATACATTCCTGAACTAAGATTTTATTATGAACATGGCCTGTGAGACAGGCAATGTCAAAGCTATGGTGAAATGAAAACAGCTTTTAATAACTGTCACTGTCAAAAGGGATCTTTAGACTCATTTTATATTGCCAGGGTTAACAGTAGTTACTCAATATTTTGCTATTTGCAATGGTAGGATTCTCTGCTACCAGTTAGAGGCAATTGGCTTCCTTTCTTACCCACATGGAAATACAAATCCAGGAATAAAAGAAAACTAAATAAATCAGGTTATAAGAGATATGCAGCACTAATCCTGGATCTCAGATTACTAGTTATTTTTACAAGACGGTAATTTTTCTTTGGGTCCCAATTAAAATAATGAATAGAAATACTGGTATTGTCCTCCCTTCTCTCTCTTAAGACAAAAAGAGAACAGTAACAGATGAATGACATTCTTACTCATTTAGCAATGGAAAATAGACCAAGAACTCAGGAACATCCACAACACCTTCCAACTTGAAGTCGTATTTGCAGCCAAATAAAGGATATTCTCCTTTCTTCTGAAATTTCACAGTATATATTTCATTTCCAAATGCTTCTGTTTCTGAAGCTTGAAGACGTCTTCTATCATGGTTACCCCCCAACCAAAATAAAAAGATTAAAGAAACTGCAGTTAGTGTTGACTATTCTGAACAAATCATGCAATGACAAACTACAAGATGTAATTTAAACATTTGATTAGCTTTTTAATTGGATTCAAGCTACTTTAAGAAGTAATATACAAAGATCATTAACCTCATTATGACAGCTGTTTAAGTCTCTGGGCCTTGGTATATGACCTGCAGTTTGCCCACCACAATAATCTGTGGCTTAGTGTGACCTATCTCTAATTTATAGGTTTTAAAATTTTATCTCCAAGTTTATCTTTTGAACTTAACTTCTGAATATCTTGGGACCAGCAGCTGGCGTAACGGCTATGTCGCTGGAGTCCCATGTGGTCAACCGCAGTTCGAGTCCCAGACTCGTGACTTAAACTCACGCCAGGCATGTGTGCTTGAGTGCCCAAGATTTTGAGAGGAGAAGTGATTGCGGCATGGCCATCTCCCCTGGAGGGTGATTTCTTGCTTTCTATCTCTCTTTCTGGCAAGCGCAAACACTTTATAGCAAAAACCTCCCCAAAAAAAGAAAAAATTTTTTTTGAATATCTACTCAAATGAATGATCAAAGTACTCTGTACTTATTTAATATGGCATAAGTTTATAAATTAAGAATTTATAAATTCTTTTTGATAAACGTTTGCTACTTAAAACTATAAGCTTATTTACATTGGGAGAATTCACTTTACAAGCTAAGTGATGTATAGTGATTGAATGTATAAAATAAATTAAAATAAAAAACACTGTAAGCTTAATACTGAATGTTCTGTAAACCACAATATATTGTAAAGTACTTACATCAGTTCAAAGCTATTGGGAGTGGTACCAATAAAATAGCCTCCAGGGCTAAGTCTCTCACAAGCGTTTCTGAGCATCATGTCAGCCTGCTCATAGGATTCAAACGAGTAATGACAGACAAACTGACAACTGCAGATGTCGAAACACATTTCTCGGTCATGAAACTTGTCAGTCAAAAGTTCCTAAAACAATTTAAAATAGATTAAGATTCTGAAATAATTAAAGCATAGATCATAAACTTCCTGGTAAATAAATTTCTAGGATTTAGGTTCTTAAAATCAAAGCAGGCATATCCTTCTACAAATTTATCCTTTTCTTCACTGTCTTCACCCTATGCTTTCTGTCATTATGGAATGGATAAAGGCCATAAAAATGTCTTCTTATATTCAGGTTTAACAGAATATCCTGACTCCCATTTTCATAGTAATTTAAAAACCTAGAGATTCTAAAATCAAGTTTTCAAAAAAAAATCAATCACGGGGCCAGACAGTAGTGCAGCAGTAATGCTAGAACCATACTGGAAGGACCCAGGTTTGCGTCTGGGGCCACCATGTACACATGGGCATAGAGTCTTTGATTCGCGTCTGGGGCCACCATGTACACATGGGCATATATACTCATGAGTCTTTGATTTGGGGTGGCTGAGGTTGGGGGTATATGGCAGTGGAGATCTTATTAGGGTACCCCTTTCATGGAAGAAATAAAGTAAAACCAAAAACCAAAACAAACCAAGACTATCCACCTAAATATCATGCATAAAGTTAATCCTTTCATTTTTAGCTTTGAGAGGTTAGAGTCGGTCCTGTAGTCTAGTGATTAACGGAACAGCAACCCACATTACTGACTGTGATTAGATTCCTAGCCCTGGTGGCTTGAAAAACATGCTGGTGCATATGTGTGCATGCCTAAGATCCCAATAAAGAAATGGAGAAGGGATTGCAGCATGACCATGCCCCACAGGGGGTGCTTTTTCCCACTCTTTCTCTGGCAAGCAGATACATCTTCTGGTAATTAAACCAACCAACCAACCAATAATTAGAGTTAAAAAAAAAAAAAAGTAAAAACATAACTGGCTTTGGGTATTTTATAAAAATGTGAGGCCCAGCCACTGCAGCATAGCAGTAATGTAGCACCTTCCAGTGCTGGGAGCCATGGTGACCACATTTGGATCCTAGGTCAGTCTGAAAGACATAGCAGGAACATATGCAGATGCCCAGGATCCTGAAGAGCTGGAAGATTAGAGAAGAATGACTATGGCATGAGAAGACCTTACTGGGAGTGCTGTCTCTACCTTGTGTACACACATGCATTTTTGTCAGAAAAAAGAAAAAATATACTAAAAGGGGGGAAAGAAAGAAGAAATGTGAAAGTGTTTTGTTTCAAACTTTTTGGAAGTACATTACTACCTTTTTTCCCTGCATTCAAAGCTGCAAACGAAATACATACGATTAGATGTAGTTTTAACAGTCTAATTAGTCAAAATTCAGGAAAAATCATGAAGTTCATGGTGAAATTTTAACCACACAAGTGCCTCTGTAATTTTTTAAGTTTATATTTGTTAAGAAATTCAGAAACAGGTGGAAGGCAGGAAAAATGACTTCTTGATATGTTGGGGAAACTACCTTAACAAATGACAAGGTAACAAAACACACTGTAAGTTCGGTTCTATTTCAAAATACTGGAAGATAAATCTCATCTTAAAAGAAAAGCAACAAGTGATATTAACAACCCAAATAATTAAAAGCAAAAAATTCTTAGAAGTACCCAGTGAATCATCTGAGGAGATTTATAATAGACTTTCTTGTAGAAACTGAAAATGCATGTCTAAGATTCTTAATGTTTCCAGGTACATTAAAAAAAATGAACTGAGTTGATTTTTAAAGCAAATAATTTACCCAAACTTAAAACGCCAAACTGTACCTTTGAAGAGTCAGCAGTTATAAATTCTGCATTAAAAATATATTCATCACGACGATTTTTCATATCCTCATACCGCTGCTGACACTGTTTGACAGAAACATCAGCGATATCTAGAGAGGTAGAAGGGTGTTAATAACTGTCAACACAGTCTAGACACTGATCTCAACTGACAAAACTCTTCAGTTTTGTCTCATCCAGTCTTAGTACCAGCAAAATGATTCTACTTCCTTTAAAACAAAAGAAAATTCTTTGCTCCAATGAAAATGCCTTATTGATTTTTCAAAAGGAACTAAAAGGTTTCTCCATAGGTACTAATAGTAAAAAGATGTACCATGAATTGTACATGCTTATTCAAAATTTTAAAATGAAAACTTAAGATTCCAATTTGAGTTATAAAAACTATCACTATATATAAACCCACTTTTTGAAATACTGGATTTTTATTTTCATAATAAAATGTTATTTGGCTCTCTACCTGTTTCGAAATTTTCATCGATAGTACAAAAGCAATGACCGGTAAAATACTGACATGTTGTCATGAATACAGAAAAATAAAAACCAAATAGTACTGGTAGCATTTACATTCTTTACCACTACAGAAGAGAAAACCAAATTCATTTAAGAATGTGCTTAATAAAGCAGTAAAAATTGTTATTAAATACTGACCCTTAAATACACATTCTTTTAATACAGGTATCACTGTATTGCACTTTGCAGATACTGTTTTTTCTTTTCTTTTTTTTTTTTTTTAACAAATTGAAGGTTTGCAGAAACCCTGTACCAAGCAGTTTTATTGGTGCCATTTGCCCAACTTAAGCCACCGGGTCCGGGACACGAACTGCGGTCAACTACGTGGGAGTCCAGCGACATAGCCATTACGCTAACTGCTGGTTCCCTGTACCAAGCAGTTTTATTGGTGCCATTTGCCCAACAGTGCGTGCTCATTTTGTGTATGTCACATTTTAGTAATTCTTACACTATTTCAAACTTTCTGTTAGTATCTTATCTATTATGGTGATCTGTGATCAGTGATTTTCAATGTTACTACAGTAATTGTTTAGGGGTGCCATGAACCATACCCATATAAGGTAGGCAGGCATATTTAGTTAATAAATATTGTGCATACTCTGAATGCTCTAATAACAGGCCATTTCCGTTGCTCTCCCTTTCCTCAGGCCTCCCTATTCCCTTGAGAAACAAAAATACTAAAACTAGGCCAATTAATAACCCTAGAATGGTTACTAAATATATGAACAAAAGGAAAAATTCCATCTCTTACACTAAATCAAAGCTAGAAATACATTTAAATATATATACGTGTTTTATTCACAATAGAGTACATATAGCGGGGGCGGGTGGGGGGATGAAGGAGGTGCAGCTTTCACGAGGTATAGTCACACAATTCCTCCCTCTACTCCTCCAGCCTGTAGGATCCTGGGCATTCATGTATGTACCTAGCACATTTTAGACAGACCAGCTAGGAAGACCAGGGGAGAGATTTGAAATGTAGTCACCATGTGGGATCAAGGTTCTAACACTACACCATGAAGCTGGCCCAGGAAATAAGTAAGCTTAATGAGGAAGGCACATTGAAAGCTGAGACAAGTCCCAAACAAGGCCTTTGGCACAAAAGTTAGTTAAGTTATGAATGAAAAAAGTTACTGAAGAAAATGAAAAGTGCTACTCTAGTGAACACACAAAAGATAACAAAACAGCCTTATAGCTGATAGGCTTTAGTGGCTTGGATGGAAGATTAACCCAGCCATAACATTCCCTTATCCCAAAGTCAAATTGAGAGCAAGGCCCCAACTCTCATTCTATGAAGGTTCAGAGAGATAAAGCTTAAACTAAAGCTAGCAGTTTAGTTCATGAGGTTTAAGGTAAGAAGTCATCTCCATAACATAAAAGTGTAAGGTAAAGCAGCAAATGCTAGAGTAGAAGCTACCAAGTTATCCAGAAGATCTAGATAAGAGAACTAATGAAAGTGGCTACATTAAACAACATGTTTTTAGTGTAGATGACACGGCTTCATTTTGGAAGACACCATCAAAGACTTTCATAACTAGGCAGAAGTCAATGCTTAGCTTCAAAGGGCAGGATGACTCTTGTTAGGGGCCGATGTAGCTGGTGACTTTAAGATGAAGCCAATGCTCATTTATCATTTTGAAAATCCTAGTGCCCCTAAAAATTATGTTAAATATAGAATGCCTGTGCTCTAGTAATGGAACGAAAAAGCCCAACCACAGCCATTTGCAAAGAATTAGCGCATCTGTTGACAGCGCGGCTTACTGAAATATTTAACCCCTGCCGCCCCCCTGCATGAAACCTACTGCTCAGAAAAAGATTCTTTTCAAAACATGTTCACTGATCTAGTTGATCACCCAAGAGCTCTAATAGAGATGTAAAGAAGATTAATGTATTTGTGACTTTCAAGTTATATTATTTAAGACACACATTTCATAAGGCTATAGCTGCCATAGATCCTGATTTCTCTCATGGATCTAGGCATTCAACTGGAAATATTCTAAAAAGAATTTATCATTTTAGATGCCATTAAGAAACAATCATTATTTATGGCAGGTCAGATAAACAACATTTACATAAGTTCGGAAGAAGGTGATTTCAACCTACATGAGTGACTTTGAGGGGTTTAAGACTTCGGTGGAGAAAATAACCACAGATGTGGTAGAAACATCAAGAGAACTAGAATTATTCGGTCATGAGAGAAGTCATGACGTATCTTTCTATGCAAAAATGCATGACTTTTCCAACAATCCTACAGAAGATGTGACTGAGTTGCTGCAATCTCATGGTAAAAGCTGAACAGAGGAGGAGCTTCTTCTTATGGATGAGAAAACAAAGTGGTATGAGATGTTATCTTCTTATGAAGGTGCTATGAACACTGCTGAAATAACTATAAACCACATACCCTTGCTGATACAAAAGCAGCAACAGAGTTTGGGAGGATGGACTGTAATTTTGAAAGAGCTTTACTTGGTTACAATGCTACCAAACAGCATCATACGCTACAGAGAAACCTTCTACAAAAGCAAGAATCAATCAATGTAGCAAATTTTACTGCTTTCTTATTTTAAGTAACTGCCACAGAGGTCAGTTCGCTGTGCTATGATAAAACATAAAGCTCTGTGAGGCAAATCCCACATGGGAAAGTTTCTGTTTCAAACCTGGAGGTCTTGCTGGATACTCAGGGCAGAGGACCCTGATCCAGGGTTGCTTGAAGGCTAGAAATGCATCATGGCATCTAGACCCTGTTGGAGGTACATTTGCTTGCAGGCATGCCCACTCTCTCTTCCCATTTCTCTGTCTCTAACTCACAGGAAAAATAAACGTAAAAAGAAAAATGTCAGGACCAGCAAATGGCATACTGATTACAAGACTGGACTAACACATGGCCAACCACAGTTCAAATCCCAGACCTGATGGTTTGAAACTCAAACCAGGCGCATGTGTGTGCATGCATGCCCAAAACCCCAAGAGGAGAATGGAGGAGAAGGGATTGTACTGTGGCCATTCCCCAGGGAGTGATTTCCTGCTTTCTGGCTCTCTCTCTCTAGTGAGTACACACATCCTATAGCAAAAGAATATCTCTTAAAAAAAAATAATAATGCCAGAGCAACCCCAAACTTTAGCAACCACCAGGCATCAATATGCAGGCATGACTCTCCACTTGCAAAAAATCTCACTGGCAAAGGGCTCGGATAACAGTTAGCATTTTTGGGTAATAAAGTATTTTTAAATTAAGGTACACACACTGTTTTGTAGATATAATTTTATTACCCAATTAACTGACTACAATATACTATAAACACAACTTTTATATGCACTGGGAATAAAAAAATTCATGTGACTTGCTTTCTTATGATATTTGCTTTTTTACAGTTGTCTGAACCTGAACCTCCAAGTAACTCCAAGGTATGTTTCTATTCTCTATAATAAAATGGGAAGTAATAAAACATGTCTGTTACATGACAAAGTCTGGTCACTGTAAGGAATGGCACTCATGTACCTATTTTTAGTTGAGAAACGTACTGCTCCCTTTTATCGGAGAAAATTATTTTGACTTGAAAGACTGACATACTATGGTTATTCAGGCGAATATCTGAAATAAAATGAATCTCTGTCTTCAAGGGAAATAAGACAGTATTTAGTACTAAAGATAAAACTTGACTTCAGTAAAAATTACAATTCTGAAAAACTTTTATTTATCACCAGAGGCTGAACATCTTCCTAATCATCACGTTTCCAATGAGTGGTGACATTAAACAAATGTGGTATCATTAAACAACAGGTTGTCAATATTTAGACAACCTGTATAATTTTAGTGGCAATATTTCCAAGTGTTACAAAGTCATGCTGGAAGTGGCAGAGAGATCAATGATTTAAATGTAAGACAGTATGAAAAGTTCATCAATAAGGTTCCAAATTTCATTTTGCAACTAACTTTTGAGAAAATAAACTACTACTTGTTCAGTTTTGATGTAGTATCAAAGATTAGTATCTAGGGGCCGGCAGGTGGCATGGCTGTTAAAGATGCTGGATTCCCACATGGCCGACCACAGTTCAAGTCTCAGACCTGGTGGCTTGCTTTCTCACTTCCTCTCTCTCTCTCGGTCTCTCTCTGATCAAACTGGAAAATAATAATGATAATAATAATAATAAATAAAGTTAAATAAAATAATTCTTAAAAAAATTAGTATCTAAATTATTTGAAAAAGTTATTATAAAACTCCTTAATTCTACAACTATTTTTTAATTCAAATAACATCACAACATATTGAATTCAGACATGGGTATGGGAATCTAGTTGTTATTCCATTACCCATTATTCTGAACTCTAGAGTAATTTGTAAAAATACAGAAAAACAATGGCAGTCTTCTCACTTAATTTTAGTGAATTACAAAAATATATTTTAAATTCTCAGCTTTAATTTCTAATATGGGTAAGTATCGATTATAAAACATTCACGAGAGCTTGCTAAGGTCAATAACTTATTTTAAGAATGTACAAGGCCCACAAAACAAAAACTTGAGAACTATGGATTACCAATACTGAAGAGGTAAGAAAATGTTAGATTCCCTCCCTTAATTTATGAAGGTAAATATATATGTATATATTATAGAATATTGCATACCTATAAGAAACAATGAAATCCTACTGTCTGACTCAAAATGGATGAATATAGAAGACTTAATGTTGAGCAAAGTGAGCTAGACTTTTAAAGATACACATTATATATCCCTACTTAATTTGTACCAAGTGTCTGTACTTTAAGGCAGAGGTCGAAAGATCTGAAGATGTGATGTTGGACAGGATGGATGTGAATGTTATAGACTACATGGTGGTTAAGAGAAAAAAATTCTAGAATAGTCAGGTCTGCTTTAAAGTGTTATTTGTCTGTTAAAATAGTCTACAAATTGTTTCCTTAATGCTTTATCAAATTATGGAAGTTTATGTGCAATAATGTTTAAGGACTATAAATGATAAACTTCTAAGAGAAAAATTAAAACTTTTTTTTGGTATTGTCTGAAAATAGCTAATTCTAGTGTATATCTGCTATTTTGTTATCAAGAGCATTTTGCTTAAAAGCAAAGGACAATTGTATGAAATGTTTACAACCTTTTGTGAACTACTTTATCATCAGTTTTTATCTATAGGTTATTGTTATGAATATTATCTGTATTTTTTTAATTATATATAACTTCGAACTTTGAAGCTCATATCTGTGAATCTACAACTGAACTTTATTTTGCTAATGTTTTCTGAATGAACTGAATAACGCTTTTGTTGTAACATGAAAACAAATTTATGAATTTGAGAATGGTAAGTTTCTTAGCAATCTTCAAGGGTAAACAACGAGGCTTTTTCCTTTATTTGATGTGTTTAATTGCTATTCTTTCTGAGGTTTCAAACTGTCTTATCCTGGTCAACAGAAACTTTTTCATGTCCTTTATGATGACTCCAATCATCTTTGATAGCAAAGGAAGGACAAGTTATTCCAGGTTCATTAACCATATTATGAAACCACTGGGAAAGTCTTACAACTACTTTTAAATACACCTATTTTATGCACAGTCCCCAGATCATCCTGTCATAACATATTTTAGTATCACATTGAAAAGGATATTCTGGGACAGCTGGTCCCCATATAGCCTAGTATAGAGTTTGAGTCCCAGACCTGGTAGCTTGAAAAATATGCTGGGTGCCCAAGTCCCAAGAGAACAATGGAGAAGGGAGCACAGCGTGATCATTCTTCCTGAGGGGGTGCACGCTCTCTCTTTTTCTTCCTCTCTCTCCCTCTAGGAGCATGTGTACCTTATAGCAAAATTTAAAAAAAAAAAAAAAGGAAAAGAAAAAGAAAAGATCCCTTTTATTTCCCATTGACCTGACTGGCCACAAATCATTCTTTGATCTTACCAGTACAAACTAGCTTGTTAATTCTTCCCTTTTTCCACTTGAGCAAATCTCCACCTTTACCACATCCCAGGTCCAAAACTGTGATATCATGTTTTTTTTTCTGTCGGATCTTTTCTAAAAATTCTCCTAGAAGACAGAAGTCAGTCATAACAAATGATCTCTTCATTTTTATTAAAGCATAAATTATAACTCTAATAATCTATAAACTTCAACCTGACATGTACTATAAACTATTATAATCACTTTTGCAGTTAGTTTGTAACTTTTACTAAATATTAAAAAAAAATGACTAAGAGCTTATTAACTCTATCTCCTAGCAATGAAGATTAAAGAACAGTTGGTATTTTAGAAAGTTAAGACAGTTTTTGGAAAGTTATTTTCAAAATTTAATTCAACACTAAATAATAGACATTTAAAATTCTAATTAGTGCAAGAAGACCAAAATTTGTTTGTAGTAAGAAAAAAATATTTTTTGCAGTTTTTTCTTTCTATAACTAGGTGTTTAAGTTACTGGGTTATCAGGAAAGTCATGATGTACTTTTGCATAGAAAAACATGTCATAGCTTTCCAGATAATCTAATGTATAAAATCAACGCACTTACAGAATGATGCAGAATGAGAATGATAGAGTGCCTCATTTTCATAAAAGATATCAGGATTACCAAAAGAATAATATTAAGAACTAGTCAAAAATATTTATACACACCTTTAGCTTCACCCATCATTGTAATCCTTAAATATCTCAATTTATTAAATCACATTAATAGTCAACAACTAAAAACAGGAGATTGCCCCATACAATAGCCAAATGGCTTATCAGTTAAAGACATATTAATATTCTCAGATAACTAAAGTGAACAATCTAAAACTCGGTACCATTTGAATCCTAGATCCACTTTCCCTGTCTTTATCATACTGAGTTTAACAATTCCTAGTTTATGTGTGCACTCTTAGAAAATGTTTTAAAAGTTTTGCCATGGGGACTGGCAGGTGGCAGGGTGGTTAAGGCATTGGATGGACACTCTCACATAGCCAACCATGGTTTGAGTCCTGGACCTGGTGGCTTGCTTTCTCACTTTCCTCTCTTTCTCTATGTCTCTCTCTCTCTGGTCAAAAAAAAAAAAAAAAAAAAAAAAAAAAAAAAAAAAATAAAAAAAAATTAAATTTTAAAAAAAAAAAAAAAAAAAAAAGAATAAATAAAATTGAATAAAAATTAATTCTTAAAAAAAAGTTTTGCCAGAAGGCATGTGTGCTTGCCAGAGACAGTCAGAGAGACAGAAAGAAGGAAAGAGAAAGCACCTCCCATGGGGAATAGTCATGCTGCAGTCCCTTCTCTTCCGTATCTCCCTCTTTTTGGGATTTTGGGCATGTACACACATACGCCCAGCATGTTTTTTCAAGCTGCTGGGTCTGGGTTGAACTGTACTGTCAGCCATGTGCGACCCACACATAGATGGTCCCATGTATTGTTCAGATGGCTAAAATATTTGGTACAAATATTTCCACAACTCACTGCAGGATCCTAAGAGTAACTTCAATAAAAGCACAAGTATGACTTTTTGCCACAACTTAAACAAAACAAAACAAAACAAAAGCATAAAAAATAGTGAAAGGAAAAAAGAACAATTTTAAAAAGTCTATTTCAATATAATAAGACTACTAAGGAGAAATCATCATAAAACATTACTTTCAAAGAAAACCTTATCATATTCAAGAATTGTAGTCAACTATTTATTCATATGTAAGTACCAAGAAGAGAGAAAATAAACAACAGAATGAGTGTTGAAAAAAGATTGGAAAAAGGCAGGCAAGGAAACTTGGCCCAGCTCGCACTGATTGCATTAGGACTAGAAAGACAGGTGCAGACAGCAACGTACTCACTGAGAGTTGCTTGAACAGCTGGGGGCCGAAGGAATAAAAAATACCAGGAATATGCTAAGACAAAAATTCTGCTGTCTGACTTAAGTCTTTACAAAAACAACCTGCTTTTGTGATTATAAAAATAATGCATTTAATATGGAAATATGAACTCAAAAACAGTCAATAAAAAATACACAAATAAATGACACATCACCAAAAACATCCAATAAGTTAACTACATCACTGAAGATAATGAAGGAGGAAAACAAAAAGCTGAAAATTAGAAATAGGATTCAGAGAGAAACTTTAAGAATAGAAGCTGAAAATGCCATGTTAGATTATACCTACAAAAAAAGGAAGTAGCCCTGTGGCCTAATGGTTAAGAGAGCTGGATACCACATGGCTGACCAAGGTTCAAATACCTGACCCAGTGGCTTGAAGAAACATGCTGGGTGTATCTCAGTGTGTGCCCCAAATCCTGACAGAACAGAGAAATGAAGAAGGGACTGAGGTGGTGTGATCACATCCCACTGGGCGGTAAGGGAAAGTGCTTTCTTCCTCTCTCTCACTTACTCTCTGGAGAGTGCATATGCCCTCAGGCAAATACAAAAAATAAAGAAAGAAGTGGATATTCATTTATCCTAACCAACAACTGGCAGACTCAAAGAAATCATATTTTTGTAATAAAATGTTAAAAACAGAAGTGAGACAGAAAATATTAAAATGTGTTCAAAATGAACCTAGATAGTAAAACAACAAAAACTCATACCAATGAGAACGCTTTTAATCCAATTATTAAAGTTTCTTAAGTAAAAAATACGACTTTGACTACGTTTCTCCAAACCCACTTCCTGAAGTTCATTGTAGTGGGCAGCCACTGCTGAGCTGTGTCCTTCTTCCAGGTTCTGAAAATAAAAAAGAATAGAACAAAATTAGGGATCAGAAGACGCTAAAAATAAGCCTCAGAGGAGCTGACCATAAAAGGATGAAACACTACTGAAACGTAAACTGCACTAAGACGTGGCAGTAAAGACAGAAAACCAATCAACTATCATTAGACCTAAGACTTGTTTTCTCCCATTCTGTTTTGAAAAGACATTCATTCCTAGGTTTAAGATTTCCACCTTGATCATTCATCTGTTATAATTTTAGTGTCAATGTCTTAAGCCAGTACTCTTCCAGAGATCTGAGTAATTCGCCAATACACCAGGTATTCTTATGATAAAATAAAATAGGAATAAACTATATTTATTATATTATCATTATTTGAAACTTGTGAGAATTAAATAACATATATAAAAGGACTATAATTCAGTAAGTTACAGTTGGTGCCCATAATTTCTACTAAATGCTATTAATCTAATCTAATATTTTCAATCTGTACTCCCTGAGGACCAGACATTCTATAAAAACATTATGGTATGGAAAGGGCTTTGGACGTCCCACCTCCCGTTACAGCCAAGTACTCGCCTCATCATTTACCTACTAAACACATCGCATTTCAAGTGTAACATTTTTCAATCAAAAGAAAAGGGTTTTTAAAAACCACATTTAAATTACAGGACCCCTGCTAGTATGAGGATATATACTCCACCAATGGCAAAAGCCTGGCCTATCACTTTCCTTTTTAGGACCAAAGCCAGAATTTTACCCTGTTAAAAGTACTCTACCTTGGGAACCAGCAGTTAGCGTAATGGCTATGTCGCTGGACTCCCACGTTCGCATCCCGGACCCGGTGGCTTAAAACTCACGCCGGGTGCGTGTGCGTGCGTGCCCAAGATCCTGAGAGGAGAATGGAAGAGAAGGGATTGTGACGTGACCATCCCCCCTGGGAGGTGATTTCTCGCTTTCTGTCTCTATGTCTCTCTCTGTCTGTCTGGCGTGCACACACGCCCTATAGCGAAAAAAACCTCTCCAAAAAAAAAAAAAAAAAGTACTCTACCTCCAACTCCAGACAGTGCCTCATACTACTTTCCAATATGGTATTTCAGGATGAAAATGACTTGTCATCCTTTGCTCTACAGTACCCCTGCTAAATATCAGACTTTTGCTCCACTTATAGCGAAAAAAACCTCTCCAAAAAAAAAAAAAAAAGAACTCTACCTCCAACTCCAGTGCCTCATACTACTTTCCAATATGGTATTTCAGGATGGAAATGACTTGTCATCCTTTGCTCTACAGTACCCCTGCTAAATACCAGACTTTTGCTCCACTCAATAAAAATAAATGTAAGCTATGTTAATAAGTTGGAAGCCACAGTAGTTTAACGTTTATCTTTTGCAAAATGCTACTTAAAAAACCGTAAGACCCAGCTTTTTAATCTTCTAGTCAAATATGAGTTATGAAAAAAATATAAAAATGATCTCATTAGCAGAGATTTCACCTTAATAAAAATCAGATCTTAGGGGCCAGCAGGTGTCATGGAGTTTAAGGCAGCTAGATCAACATAGCCGACTCTGTAGTTTGAGTCTTGGTTGGACCTGGTAGTTTGAAAATCATCCCAGGTGGGGACCAACAGATGGCATAATGGTTACGTCATTGGATTCTCATGTAGTCGATAGTGGTTCGAGTCTCGGGCTTGGTGGCTTAAACTCACGCTGGGTGCATATGCATGTGTGCCCAAGGTCCCAAGAGGAGAAAAGCGGAAAAGCGATTGAGGCATTGCCTTCCCCTCGGGGGATTATCTCTCTTTCTGTCTCTTTCTTTTTGGTGAGTGCATGTGCCCTATAGCAGAAACCTCTCAAACAAACAAAAACACAAAAAAAAAAAAAAAAAAAAAGGAAAAGAAAGAAGGAAAGAAAGGAAGAAAGAAAGAAAGTCATGCCAGGTATATGTGTGCAGGCCCAAAATCCTGAGAGGAGAATGGAGAAGGGACTGCAGGGAGGCCATTTTTCCTTAGGGGTGATTTGCTTTCTTTCTCTCTGTCCAGCAAGTACATGCACCCTACAGCAAACTTAAAAAAAAAAAAAAAGATTTTAAGAAATAAAAAGCCCATTCTGCTTTAAGATCCTATCTATTAAAAATAGAATATCCTTGGGATCAGCCGATGGTATAACGGTTATGTTGCTGGACTCCCAAGTAGTTGCAGTTCAATTCCGGGACCCAGCGTCTTAAAATTCAAGCTGGGTGCATGTACCTGCATGTGTGCCCACAATCCCAAGAGGAGATTTGGAGGAGAAGGGATATGATTTCTCGCTTTCTGTCTCTGTCTCTCTGGTAAGTGCACACGTCCTATAGCAAAAATCTCTTCCTTAAAATAAATAAATAAATAAAAGAACATTCTTAAGCTTTCAAGATGATGTAAATATTATTATTCTTAATAATATTATGTACGTATTATTCCACAGGGTCCACACTTCAATTTGATACATTCTATTACAAATTAAAAAATACATTCAACATACTTTCTGCTTTGCAGGAACATCTTCAAGTTCTATTTTTCTCTTTTTCTGAGTACCATCCCCATTTGAAGGTTCATCTTTGGGGACATCATCAGTTCCCATTTTCCTTTTCCTTGAAATGCCTTCATCATCACTAGAACCTTTTTCCTCTGAGACAATTTCAGTATCAGGTTTTCTTTTTTTGGATGGAGCATCTTCCCCACAACTGGAACTTTCCTTCACAAGATCATTTTCAAACTCTTTCCTCTTTTTTGGTGGGTTTAGTTGCCCACAAGTAGGAGTCTTTTCGGAAAGCTCATTCTCAGAAGCTGTTGGGTTTTCATTAACACTGAATGAAGAGGTTTCAGAATTTACTAATGCTTCTGCCTGTTCCAGGGACACTTTTTCATATTCCTCTGCTTTTAAAGAATTTTCCATTTTTGATTACTTGACAGTAAAACTTCATGAATCAACACTGGAATGGCAAAAAAACAAAACAAAACAAAAAACACAAAACAACAACAAAAAAACCTGTTATCAGTTGTAAATACTAACGTTAAGACTCTAAAACAATTTTAACTAAAAGTTACCAATTTAATTTCAGTGATCAACTAGGAGTTTAGAAAAGTTTCAGGGTAGAGAGAATATTGAAAAATATTGAAACATACATGATATATAAATACATGTACTGAAGTAATACATTCAGGTAGTACTAATTATAAGTCCCCCAAACTTCTAGTTTTATTTACAGAAGACATTATTGGCATTAAAACTGACAACAGAAGTGAGGATATGATACTAGTGTCATTTCTATTCTACTTTATAGCCTTGGTTCCCAAACTGTGAGATACATAAATAAATGTAAGTACTGTAATAAGTGGTCACAGTATGATCTTACATCTGGAGGAAATCATATAAAACTCTTTTAACGCCAAGCAGAGCAGTTACAACTGAGTAGATCCCACTACACTCCTCTTGATGACATCAAAGCCTTGTGAAGCTGAGATTTTGGTGGTACCACAGAAAATGTCAAACAGCAAGTGAAGCTGGTGGCAGCATCTAATTTAATTTCAAAGCTTGAGAAGTTGTAAGGTATCCACTGGACACATATCCCATTACTAAGCAATTGTAGTTAATCAAGAATTAAACATAAGTGTTACTTTTCTTTCCATTTATGTGTACTGATTTTAATAGATAAAAAGTTGTGGGACCAGCAGTTAGCATAATGGCTATGTCACTGGACTCCCATGTAGTCGACCGCGGTTGGCGTCCAGGATCCGGTGGCTTAAAACTCACGCTGGGCGCGTGTGCGTGCGTGCCCAAGATCCGGAGAGGAGAATGGAGGAGAAGGGATTGCGTGGCCATCCCCCCTGGGGGGTAATTTCTCACTTTCTGTCTCTCTCTGTCTGTCTGGCAAGCGCACGCACCCTATAGCAAAAAAAAACCCAAAAAAACAAAAAACAAAACAAACAAACAAAAAACCCTCTCCAAAAAAAAAAAAAAAAAGTTATTAGGGCATAGAACAGAAAATGGCTGGGAATCTACAGCAAGAACCTCTGAAGCCCTTATTCATAAGGGGTATCCCAGTTAGAAAGTAAACAGAATAATAATAGCTTCAGACAAGTTCCCAGACATATTCTGCAATTCATTTCAAGTATGTTCTTGGACTATCATGTAATAAACAAAAATTATTACCATGGTCTGTTTTATTAAATCATTCAACAAATGTGATGACCACCCTCTACGGAAGAGCTCATTGCAAATTATGTATCTTCTATACACACCACTATTAAAATGTTAGGATGTATTATCAAAATCAAACAGGTAAAGGAAAGCAAAGGTCCAAACAAATTAGATTCAACAAATTCAGAACCTGAAAGTTAGGAAGAGGAAATGGAAAAAAAAAAAAAAAGCTTTTGGGAAAAGACAAAGAAGTCAAGTTGCTTCCAGGAATGAGTATAAAAACAAGTCGCTCCAAATTGGGAAGGGTTTCAATGGGTATTACTTTTCATTACCTACCTTCTTAGGTAACAAGACACCTGCCAGTGCCACACAGTAAGAATGGAGTTAGAAAACAACTAATTCCACTCTGCAGAAAAGTAATCTGCCGAGTAACTCCTTAAAACAATTTTAAAAAAAGTCCACAGAATCGTAAAATTGTTATTATTCCTCTGCCACTTATTTCATAATAAGGAAATAAAAATTGGTTTTAAATTTAAATAGAGCAAGGTGACATACCTTCAGCTGTAACAATAGCTTAAAATTAGTACTGAGATTTAAGTGTGAATGTTACTTATGCCAGCGACTGTTTCCGCAGATGTAGTATCATAAAAACATAATGGATTCGGTCCGAATAAATGACACAGCATTCTAAACGACCGCAGAAATGGACAAAGAATGTTTAAAACCGAGCGTCACAGAAGAACAACGAAAACACTCAAACGAAGAGAGCTGCCCCCCAGATTTCTCGGGGACGCTTACGGTAAAGTCAGGGTCGAATGACAGCGAGAAGGATATGCGGTAAAGGACCACGTGGACATTTCGACCTCGCTTTCCAGTCGCATCTCTCCGTCGTTTGTTTCTTGGAGTAGGACAGGGCAGGGCGCAGCTAAAGCTCAGACAGGCAAAGTTCTACGCCCAGCCCCGCCAGTCTGATCGTCAATCCGGGACCAAGAGAACTCAACTGAGTTGAGGCAGTACTCTGGCCAAGCTCACCCCGCTCCGTCCCCGCACGGCCTGGTTCTTGCTCAACCTTCGGCTCGAGTTCAAGACAGACCTTCTGCGGATCCCACGACCCTCCCTCGCGCACCCACAGCGTGGCCCTGGGGCAAGAGCTGAAACAACTCTTTTTCTCCCACCTGACGAGACGGCCTGGAAGAGCAACAGCGCCCGCCCCCCGTTTTGCTTTCGGGGGGACGCACAATAACCCCCACACGACGGGAACTGAAGCCACAGAGCTAATGCTAAGCGAATCCATGTCAGGAGTCGGAGTCCCTTTCACCTTTTCAGCAGCGGCAGCGGGGCTTAAGACAAAGAAACGCCGCTGCTCCAGACGCCACACTCACCTCAGCACACCCATCCACGATTCTGTTTGCGGAAACGGCGGGGCCGCGCCCCCCGCGCGGGCGTTTTGGTC